GAGAAATGGATAAAAAAGTTGTGGTATTTCTATACAATAGAGTATTATTCAGCTATAAAGAAGGATCACATTGAGATATTTATCAATAAATGGGCGCAGCTTGAGACCATACTCATAAGTGAAATAAATCAATCTCGCATGTGTGAATACCGAATAGTTTCCCTAATGTAAGTAATGATTCAAATATATAAAAATATGTGGTAATCATGATTCCCCATTATGTGGCCTTGAAGCCTTATAAAGTTTTCACTCATTAATTAGAAAGGCTTTATTCTGGGCTTCTTGATATGAAAATATTTGAAGCTAGAGTATATGAAGTTTTATCCAAATATTTCAAGGAAAAAGACACTATGGTAACTACTATTAAGTCAGGTTATATGGTGGTGAAGTACTAGGTTGTTGAAACAGTCATGCTGTGACCTCTATTGTTATATTGTTATGTCCTGTTTTATCTCAATCTCCCCCTTATTGTTTTAAAAAAAAATTATTTAGTCATTTCTTATGCTTGTCTTAATTAAAGAAAAAATTTAAAAAATTAGGATATATAAATAGTAACTCTTTTTGATTTCCTATTAACTTGTTTTGAAGTCCTGTAGTACTCCCACGATCTTGTTTTGACTGATTAGACTCTGTTCCATTCTATATCATAGTATCAAGTTTGAAGACATAGACAACTACTTTGAAGACAATAAGATTCACTAAGATATCCATTCTGGTTTGACTATTGTCTTCTTTGGAAGTCCTGTAATGTTTACAATGCCTAAGTTTTATTGGTCTTGTTCTCTACTGTTTTGTCCAACTTTATAATATCTAATGAGATAGACAATTCTTTTTAAGGAAACAAGGGACAACGTTGATAACCATTGTTGATAAACTTGTACTCTGTTCTACACCATGTGCTATGTCTATCCTTAGTATTGACTGACAGCTTTGTTTTGCCATATTTGACTGTATTCTTTCCCCCCCCCCCAAAAAAAAGTAATAAGCACTAAGGAGTAATAAAATCCAAAATGTGTAAACTTTGTTGTAAAAAAGAAAGGGGAAAAAAACAAGAAAAAGAGCTCTAACGGATATAACAGCAAGTGTGTTTAGGGGTGTTAAATAGCTGACTATATCAATGTTTTTGGATCATTGAACACAGCTGTTTGCAGTCTCCCTGTTTGAGTGTCCACCTTGTATTCTTTGATACTGTGATTTGAGGAACTATTTTCAAGATGATAATATGTAATCTACTAACAGGTGATTTCTTACTGTTATGTTTTTTTTGTTTGTTTGTTTTGTTTTGTTTTTTTGTTTTGTTTTGTTTTGTTTTGTTTGTAGTCCTGTATTATGTGTACCCTTACACCGCTTTGGCTTGTTTTGTGTTTTTCTCTTTTTCCTCTAAAAAAAAAAAAAAAAAAAAAAAGTAATGGTGTGTGAGGGGATGGACGTTTCAATGGGACTGATTGAATACTTTTGCAGTGTTAAAAAGTCAAAACATTGTATTTACAGGTAGGATTCCTACACAATTTTTATTTCTGAAATGAAATCTTTTAAAACTTGTATATATGATTTTTAAAATAATTTATGATAAAAATGACAGAAAACATATATCTTTTGAAGTAATATCATTACTATTTGGGACCAAAAAGATTATTTCCAATTTGTAATACTATTTAATTAACTGATTTAATATATTTGTATTAAGTAAACCTATGTAACTAAGCTATGAAATCTCTACTAGTCAAGCTAACTGTTTCTAAAGATCTAGCAGCATATTTAAAAAGTTAAAAATAAAATTAAAAACTTTTCTTCATCGAGTGTGAGTGTGCAGAGTGTGGAGCCAAAGCTAAGAATCATCTTTTCCTTCTGTGATCTTATTAGGATTCGTAGTAATTTTACACTGTCACTGCTTGAGTGGAAGCTTTCTCCTAATTAATCTTTAGAGAAATCACCTCCCATCCACATCCTTCTCCCATGATGACAGTAACAGATTTGTTTAAAATTTTCTATCCATATTCTATCAACAGCCAACCCAGTTTCTTCCATATGTTGCAAGCCAAAAGCAATTGGAACGAATTTCTCTCAATTTCAAATTTAAAGAAAGCTTAAACTTTTTCTAATATTATGCAAAATAGGTAAAATTAGATGAATACAAAGTAAAGTAAGATTAGCAGCAGGAGTCTCTTTGCTAAACATTCCCATTAGAAATCTGAATTCTCTTTTACGTTGAGACATGGTGAGTGTATGTGATCCGTGATTTTCCCTGCTTTACATTGAGTTCTGGGAGGAGCTGGTGGCCACCTACAGAGTGCTATCCCCAGTCTGATGAAATTATTAGTAGAACAGGAACACACGGGTCATCGTAATGTTGCTGGTCTTTAACTTGCTTGGTTTATTTAATGTACTGTGTTGTATAATTGATTTAGCTGCACAGCTCATCTCCAGGAGGCAGCTGACTGTTTCTAAGGCTTCACTATCATCTTTAGACCTCTGACCGTGGTCTCTGCTCAGTGAGTGTGTCCAGCCATAGCTATGACAAGTTGTTTACCAGCTGTCAGAATGCAAGGAATAGTATTCTGTCATTACTCCATCAGAAAGTTTCTCCTATAGAGACTCTTGTTTCAGTCCACCCTCCACTATGTCTGAAAATATACATGATTCTATTGAAGATAAGAAGGGACAACACAGTAACCATTGTAGAACTCCTTGTGTAGTGGTTTTATATGTCTTTTTCATTTCATGTGTTTATCGAAATATGTTTTGTTATGTCTTGCTTTGTTTTGTTTCTCTCTAATATAGAAAGGATAAAACTACATGGGAAGACTCATTCATGCATAGAATCTATAAGCAGTTTATGAGAACTGATCTTATAATGCATGATGAAAAGAAGAAATACTTTGAAGAAAAAGAGACACTAAAGTACCCAGTGCTGATCCTGTAGTGTCATGATGTGAAATCCAGCAATGCTATTATTCTTTCTTCAGAATGATTTTAGCCTGCTATGGTTTGTTTAATCTCAATATAAATCAAGATATGGATAACTGCATGTATGTTTAAGTGTCTAGGATTGATAACCATATTACTAAGTTTTTGTTGGATAGTTCAACAGAGCCATTTGCAGTCTTGTTGTTTGAATCCACACTTTGTAGGTTTCACTTTTGTATCTTGAATAACTATTTGTAAAAGGACAATATGTTAACATCAACTAGTGATTTCTTATTGTTTATTTTTTATTTGAAAGTATGTATTGTTTCTACCCATTTTCTGCTTTGTTTATTCTTTCTTTAAATAAAATTTTAAAAAAGATTCTTGGAAGAGTTAGAATACAATATATCCCAATTAATGTGCTTTTCATTATAGTTTTATTCCCTCATGTTTCTTCTCCTTAGGGGAAGTCTTGGATGCAGTCTCCTAATAGAACTAGTGAAACATTTGTATGGAATGCAGAAGAGTTTTCTGGATTTTACATTGCTCAGTTGATAGTGATTGCAAACAGAAGTTCAATTTTGAATGTTTCTGCCCACCTGCACTGTCAGACTTGTTGACATGATAGCATTGCTGGCAAACCTTGACTCACTCATCCACTGCTTTACATTTCCAATTCATGGGAAGAAGTTAATTGTCTGTGTACTTGTGATGAACCACTCACTTTCACAGAATACTTCCTCTGAGTGATGTTTAACTGAAATATTAGGTGTTTGGATGTATATCAACACTCGCAGATAGCTTTGTTGTCTGTTCAATTTCATTATGTCTGTTTAAATAAGTTATTAATGCATACCAGTTGCATGAGCATTCAGCATCAGATGCAAGAAAAGAGGTAATTGTCATGACAGCCATACAAATACCATACCTTCTCTGTGTCCACACCATCAGTAGAAGGCCAGTATCTCCAGCAGCTCTTTCCCCCTTGTGCCTGCCCAATTGTACATGAACTGATCTTTCAAAGTGATGTCACCTGATCAGTGTTTTTTCATTTAAAGACTTAAGTAGGAATTTTATGGTCCAAGTGTAGTCACCAATGAGTGGTTCATATGAGCATGTGAGAATCATTACATCATCCCAAGTACATGGTTTAGGGAAATGATTTAAACATTGGCAGAGCCCCAGAGACTCAGCAGGACTCCACAGAACAACACTATTCAGTGGCAATCGAATGTGTCTTACTCAGTGCACAAGTGTGGAACTTAGCTGACTTGTTCATCTAGAAATACTGACATCCATTTCACGCTTACACAGTCTGGTAAACTAAAGATCATCAGTGCTAACTGTCATAAGAAATGATGGAAAACCTTATTGGCAGGCATAAGGTAAGAAAGCTGGATGCTGTTGAGACTTCTCAAGTAAAATGACCTTTGCATTAAAACTTAGCAAAACAACTTTATTGTAAATGTGTAATAAGGAAATTTCTAAACCTTTTTGTCTACAATCCCTAGTTACATCAAAATAATTTACTAAGTTATATATTTGAATGAACTAGCAGCTAATTGGAGGTTATCAAGTCACTGAATGATATGTGATAATAGAAAAATCTTCTATATTTCTCAATATGTACATTAAAATGACTTTTACAGGTTCTATGTTTTTTCAAGTGAGTTTTGCTATGTACAGAACATGAGTATTTTATTTTATCAGATGAGAGAGATTTTATGGTTGGAATGGTTTAGATTAAATTTTTTGATAAAAAAACCTCATTGTCATTAAAATGTAGTAATACAAATTCTTACTTGTCTTATATTGTACAGGGAGAATTTGTAGACATTTTCAGTGATAAATTTCAGTAATACACTTAAAGGAAACAAGCTCTCATATGTGTTTACCAACAGTACCATTTGACACTTTCGAATAGAGCAGGTTTCATTTTGAGGCTGTGCTTGTTAACTTTTGAGTCTCTTAATTCATGTTTTGTTATATTGATCAATGATACACAGAAGTGTCTAGAATCAGAAACTTTGTAAGACAATGGTTAAAAGCTTACTATGAGTAAACATGTTTCACCTTTTGTGGTACTGTTTGCCATGGCCAGGAAAAATCAGACCTTGAACTCTGACTTCACTGTGCTGCAAATCTTTGATCACAGCCCCACACACACCTTCCTCTTCACACTGGTCCTAGCCATCTTCACAATGGAATGTGTGGGAAACATGGCCATGATTCTGCTCATCTACTTGGATGCCCAGCTGCACATGCCCATATACTTCCTCATCAGCCAGCTCTCTCTCATGGACCTCATGATCATCTGCACCATTGTCCCTAAGATGGCTGTCAACTTCCTGTCTGGCAGGAAGTCCATCACTCTGGCAGACTGTGGAGCCCAGATATTCTTCTATGTGTCGCTGCTTGGATCTGAGTGTTTGTTGCTGACTATCATGTCCTATGACCACTATGCTGCCATTTGTCAGCCTCTGAGATACACCCATCTCATCAGACCCAAAATTTGTGGACTTATGTTTACTTTTTCCTGGATCTTGCGTTCTATTGATGAACTCACTGATGGTGTAGTTACATTTTCCTTCTCTTATTGTGGGTCTCGGAAAATAGCCCACTTTTTCTGTGACTTCTCAGCCTTTCTAATCCACTCATGCAATGCCACATCCACATTTGAAAAAAATTCTTTTGTTTGTTGCATAGTGATGATTGGTTTCCCCGTAGAAGTCATCCTTGCTTCCTACACTTGGATTATTCTGGCTGTTATCAGTATGGGTGACTAAGTAATGTCCTCTATATAATCAGAGAATAATGTAAGTGCTGCTCTAAAATGTGTCCTCAGTGAAGGTCTAATTGAAAGCTTACTTAAATTTGTTCCACAAAAAAGGGAACTGGAAAATTTCCCCAAATATAAAATGAATTTATTTTTAAAAATACCACTGATACTAACCACTATTTTATAAATTTTAGCATAATGTTGTGCTAATCATCTACATTCTCTTTTTTATACTAGATGATATGCTCTTCTTATTCTGGCAATCACTTTATAAGTTAACTTTGAAAGAATCCAAAATATTTGAAGTTCCAAGGGTTCCTAAACGAAGGATAATGAGTCCCCTAAATGGAATAGTTGGAATAGGGAAGAACATGCAGTTAAATAAAATGTGTGTTTCAGAACATGCTTCCATGTGGTCTGTGCACATATGTAGGACCAACACCCTGCCCAGTCACGGTCACCATGACAATCCCTGGGTGCGGGTTTTGAGAGATCATCAGAAGGAGAGAGAGGACAAAAAGAAAAGTAAAGTGGGATAATCCTGAAAGGCCACAGAAGTACAGAAGAAGGCAGAGCTCTGATTTCTAAAGGGAGGTTATGTAAATCAGGAGTTAAGAAAGGAGGCCAATCGTCACAGGTCTGTAGCAGAGATAAGAAGCTTGAGTTTAATCATGGGCCTTTACTAAGGGACACTAGACACTCTTATGAAAAAAATGGTAATGGTATTTGTATTTCTGAAATGTTGTTACTTTAGGAACATGAAAACATTCAGGGTGAAGAGAGATCTGGCAAAAGAGCTGTTCTAAAGTTTGCATGATGAATGTATTGAAACATGCAAAAGATATCTTACAGAGATGGCTTGAGAAGGCTGTGTGGAGCCTACGCGGCCATCTGATCTGAACTGTCAGAGTAAAACCACACACAGTTAGAGTTCTGTGAGTTCAACTCATGTTTATTTCAGCCCATATATTTGATAAGACTTCCTGGGAAGAGATAAATATTAATTAAATGGAGAGGGCAGGTAGATGTACATTGCTCACTTTGCAATTAAAAAATCTTTTATAATCTTAATCTTTTCTTTTTAATTTGTGAATACTGAGTTTCAGAATTAACACTGCTTCTTTAAAGAAAGTGCAGGCAGCCTTCATTTGCAGCTGCAGCATGTAAAGCATGAGTATGAACATCTGTGCTGCAGTCAGAGGAGCTCCTAGGAACCTTTGGAAGAGGGCGTGGCACTGTCACCCAGGTCATGGGCGGAGCCTGCTGTGCAGGCAGAGGATTTAGGGTCTGGGACCATGGGAAGGGAAGGGTTCTGAGTCACAGGGAGCTTCAGGGCTCTAGAGTCCCCTTCCTAAGAGGAGGAGGGCAGCTCCGTGTGGCAGGAAGCCCAGACCCAGAGAGAGGAGTGCTGCTTCCCAGGGAAAGCAGAGCTGAGGTTTCCTTGGGATTCGCTCCTTCGCCTGCACCTATGAGTATGGTGAGTACGGTCTCCCCTTGCACAGAGTCTGACTTTGTTGAGGACAAATGAAAAATAATACATATGAGAAAGACGTGCATGATGTAGGGTTATACAGGGAGATGCTCCCCAGCCTGGTTATTAAACTTTGGTGGTGTCCTAGAGATTCACTATACTGTAGGTAGTTCTGACGGCGTGCTGAGCTGCCTTATCCTCTGCTCAAAACCCTGTGTTCTGTCTGCAAAGGAGTGATAGAAAAAGGAGACGAGATCTCCTCAATGACTGCCTCTCTGTATTTCAATTATTAAACCTTATGGTAAATGTCAGTATCTTCTAGTTGGTAGATAAGCACCTCAAAGGGACTTTACAGAAACACTCACACATGAGCAGCTCTGATCCTGTCCTTTAAGCAGACACATGAAGATTTACACGTAGGAAAATTGTATAGTCTCTCTCATGCTGTAATGGCAAACCTTTTAGAGACCTACCTCTAAACTACACCCCAAAACTCACTCCTGAGTTCAAATGACCAACACTGCAGTTAAGCCTGAATAGTGAGGTTTTAGTTAGAAAAACAATATACATATTAACATATTTTTTCTTAAAAGAAAAACAAACAGCTTGCATGTACAACTGACCTAGCGCAAAGATTTTGTTTATAAATTATTAGGAATGTGATTTTTTGCCCCAGAATTATCCAGCTTCCTTATTTATGTTCCATTTGAGTCATCAAATACACTAATGAACAAAATTCCTGGGACTCCACACCTTAAAAATAAAAGAATGATTTGGTGAAACTTGATTTAGTGAGTCACACAAAACTGAAGCATGTTGAATGCGCTGGGATAGCTGCATGGAAGTTCCAGGTTCATTCAAGTTGCAAGACCCAGCCACATGGTGGACCCCAGGGCCTGAGGTTCTCCAGATGCTTTGGGTTTATGCAGATCTCTTCATGATTTAGATCCCCTGCTTTTCCATTCTCCTTTAGTATTGCAAGATCTCAGGATCGCTGCTCAGTCTTTTTTTTATTTCATTTCAGAACTCTGTTTTGGAACCTGCCTCTGTTTCTGTATAGTTAATTATCTTGTCTCTAACTTATTCTTTCTAAATAAAAAATAGGTCAGCAGAAAATGATGCCTTTGAAGTATGATAATTTAGAAGATCTATATCTATACCTATACTTATATCTATAGCTATGTCTATATCTAAATCCATATATAAAAATGTATATATCTTGTGTGTGAGTGTGTGTGTGTGTGTGTGTGTGTGTGTGTGTGTGTGTGTGTGTGTATGTTGCTTTGAATGGGGCTTTACTTTGGGATACATTAATTAGGAAAATGACCCCATAGTATGAGGTTTTATACACATTTTGAAATCAGTTGAGATCATTTTACAAAATACTGAAAGATTATCTCTTTTTTAATCAAACATTTAATCCCCATTTTCATTGTAGTTACTTGGGCTTTGTCCCACCTCCAGGGATGTGAGCATTTTCTCCCTGGTCTCCATCCAAAATGGTTTCCTGGTAACCCACCACCTCCATCATACATTCAACAACTGAGAAGGTTTATTCATGCAACCTCATTTCATGTTGCTCCATAACTTCAACCAACACCATTCCCGTGTTTCCTTGATTAGTAGCAACAGTGAAGGGTGCACCCATGTGCATGTTTCTCCAGGCTCCATTTAAAGTGTCCTTTCTTCCTCCCACACAAGCACATCCTGCACCCCAAGTTTTCCAGCTGGCCTTAGGGTGATTTGCACTCTCATTACTTCACTCGTAGTGGCAGACATGCCCCTCATTCTGCAAAACTAAAGTGAAACCCTTAAGGACCACAGAATGAGCACACTTATGTTTTCTATGTGTTTATATCAGGAGTTTATAAGCTGTTTTGCAGCATAAATTTTAAAAATCAGTTTCTCAAAAACACAAATGCACACTAATAAACAAAGAAAGAAAAGCTCATTTCCCCTCCTCAAAGTGTAAATAAGGACCAAAATTTATAAATATACTGCGAACAGGAAGAAATTGTTCAAAAAAGAAAAGTAACTTGGGGAGGGGAAAGGAACTAAAGAAAACAATGAGAAAAGAAAGATAGAATGGAAACAAATATTTTGTAAATAAGGAGGAGAAGAGAGGTACAAGGGGAGGGAAGGAAATGGGGTAAAAAGGAATTAAGATGTATCACACACAGGAACAGACTCCCTATGATGATGACATCATTATGTAAACAAAAATTGTACCAATAAGGTTAACAAAAGAAGGATTAGGAGATATGAAATTATTCCTAAAATAAAACTAATTTCCTCTTTTCCTTTTCATGAGTATTTTAGATATTTTTATAAAATTAGACAAGAAAAGACTTGCAAAATTAGACATATGGAAAAGTTATAATATAGGCTATTGATCAGGCATGATCATGAACATCTGTAATCCAAGCACTCAGGAGGCAGAGGCAAGAGAAATGTGAGTTTAAGATAGTTTGGGCTGCATAGTGAACTCAAGGACGGCCTGACTACACAGCAAGATTCTATCTCAAAAAATAATATATACATGCCATTAATCTGTTCTCTGGATTAAAGTGGGACTGTCTTTCCATTTGATAAGGCCCCAGTGTATTTTCATTTGGCTGAAGTTAGGCAGTAGGAATAAAGCATAAAGACAGGAATTGTCTTACTTAGGAGTCCACCAAAATGGAAATCAACAAGGGAGTTTCCAGTGGTAGGGATAATTTCGTGTAGACAAATACATTAGCTTTCTCCTAAGCCTTCTATTTACTCTACCAATGAGTAAATGAGTGTGCTCTCATGAGTTCTGGTAGTCTTCTATGAGAACAGAAAGGAAGTGTTACTGGAGATTTTCTTTGTGAAGGATGAATGAAAACAGTGAAAAAAGCCCTGGACCACGTCTCCCAGCATATGCATCTAAAGGAGGTCACTAAGCGTTGGGAGAGAAACTCACATGTGCACTGTACACCCTGCCCAGTGGAGGCCTTGCTGCAGTTATACCTTTGAAAATTGAACTCAATAAACATGCTGTTACATTCTCTGTAACTTTCAGATAAGGCAGCTTATCTAGGATGGGATGGGGAAACCAGACTTTCCACTCTGACTTCATCCTGCTGGGAATCTTCAGTCACAGCCCCATCCACACCTTCCTCTTCACCCTGGTCCTCGCGATCTTCACAGTGGCTTGTGTAGGGAACATGGCCATGGTTCTGCTCATCTACCTGGATGCCCAGCTACACACACCCATGTACTTCCTCCTCAGCCAGCTCTCCCTCATGGACCTCATGCTCATCTGCACCACTGTGCCCAAGATGGCCATCAACTTCCTGTCTGAAAGGAAGTCCATCTCTCTGGCAGGCTGTGGGACCCAGATCTTCTTCTATGTGTCCCTGCTTGGAGCTGAGTGTTTCTTGCTGGCTGCCATGGCCTATGACCGCTATGCTGCCATTTGCCAGCCTCTGAGGTACCCAGTCCTCATGAGCCGGAAGCTCTGTGTGCTCCTGATTGCTGCTTGCTGGATCTTGGGCTCTCTGGATGGCATCATTGTGCTCACAGCTGCTTTGTCATTCTCGTACTGCCACTCTCTGGAAATTCATCACTTTTTCTGTGATGTGGCAGCCCTGTTACCTCTCTCATGCACAGATACATCTACATTTGAAAGGCTGCTGTTCATCTGCTGTGTGGTGATGCTCATCTTCCCTGTCGCAGTCATTGTCACTTCCTATTCCTGTGTCCTTCAAGCCGTCATCCACATGGGCTCTGGGGAGAGTCGTCGCAAAGCCTTTGCCACCTGCTCCTCACACCTGGTAGTGGTTGGGCTCTACTATGGGGCTGCCATGTTCATGTACATGAGACCAGCCTCCTTGCACACCCCAGAGCAGGACACAATGGTGTCAGCCTTCTATGCCATCCTCACGCCCATGCTCAACCCACTCATTTACAGTCTGAGGAATAGGGAAGTCTCCAGGGGGCTTAGGAAGCTGCTGGGGAGAGGAAAGATCCTATGATTCTGTAGAAATTCTTTGAAAGTCCATTCTGGACAGCAAGGAGACTGGAGTCCCTTGTGTTACCCTATCCAAGCTTGCTTTCCATATTTCTGCTCTTGTTTTATCAGCCTTAGGAGTTAACACACACACATATATATGTGTGTATATATATAAATGTACATATATGTATATATATTTATATATACACATATGTGAATATGTGTGTATATATATGTGTGTATACACATATGTGTATTTGTGTGTATATATATATATGTATATATACTCACACACACACACACACACATATATAAATATGCACACATACATAATACACATTACTGTCTTGCTGAGAGGAGTTGAGGCAGTAAGCAGGCTGTGTCTACCACTGCCAATGTCAGTTGTTTCCTTAGTCCTCAGCTTTGAGTGCTGTCTGATTCTGAGATGCTCCATTTCCAGCTGGAAATACTTCTGAAGGCCCTGTGTCTCACGTGCAAACAAGGATCCCAGCTGGTCCAGTCTTTGAACACATGCATCTCTGTTTATGGATCAATCACCTGGCAGTGTGTGCCTTCAGCTCTCATGTGTTGAAAATCTGTATGGAATATTTTTACCTTGATCCTTCTCTACTTAATTCCTAAACATTCAGGAGTGGGGAATCAGTGTGGGCACTTCTTTCAATTAACGTTCTATACAAAATGGCTCCTATCAAGTACTCTGTTTCACCTTTATGGTAAGCGTAGATTTTCAATGAGTTTGGATAAAACATCTCTTCCATTTGGCACCACAGTCACCCTTGTTATCATGTAATTTATCTTTCATTCTTACAGTATAGAATCTGCCTGAGAAATTAGAGCACTATCATTATCTGGAATTGATAACCTTGTTTTTTTAAAATAAAAATTTAAATAAAAACATTTGTTATCAATTAATTTTTAAAAATCTTCCCTCTCCCTCTGCTCCTCCCTCTCTGTATCCCCCTATTTTAGGTGCTAGAGATGGAAGCCAGGGTCTCACATGTGGCTGTACCTTGGAGATACACTCTCTGCTCTTTAACTTTTTATTTTGAAATAGGACCCACCTGTCCTTGAACTTGAATTTCTCTTGCCTCAGCCTCCTGAAATTACAAGAATGTACCACAGCACCTGGTTAAAAATGATTCTTCAATATTTCTGGTTTCTAAATCTATCCAAGTCAGCTGTCTTAATGTTCTGCAAGGGGGCTATTCTGGGATAAAACACTTATTTTTCCAGTGTTATCACAAGATTGTAATCTGCATATCTAAAGCCCCTGCTCCTCAAGAAATGAAAATAGTCATTACCCCTTAATTGCCTTGATTTTTCTGTCTTACAATTCAACCTTTAATTTAATAGTATTTTGTATTTAATTTCACCTTCTTACTAAATCTAGATTTTATAACTAAATGACATGACTATTGGTTACAATGGATTGCATTCCTCAGGCAACTACAAAATATTTTGTGGCTAGTAGAATAGTTTCATATTTTTATTTTTAGTAAAATTAATGGATCAAAAATGCAATACTTAATGTTCATAATTCAGTACTTTTGAGTATATTCCTATGCTTGTGAGAACATTAACATGAATCTATTTATAGTTTTATTATTGAGAGAAAACTCACAGGTGTTAGCATTTGTGTCACCTTCACTCCTGCCCTTGTTCTTGGAAATCACTGTATTTTTCCTAGTTTCCAAGTTTGTGTTATTATGTTATATTAACAGAATGAAATAATGAAATTCACTTTGGAATATTGGTACATGCACACAAAATATTTTTATTCCTTTAACCCTAATACTGCTCTCTTTTATTTGCTTCCTGTGGTCTTCCACACAGCAAATTCACTACTTTCACTGTTTGCCCCCCTTTTCTATCATTAATCATATAAGAAAAGATGACACTTAGCATGATGTACTCCAGTTCTCACCAATTTTTACTCTAAGGACGTGATTCTGAAAGAATAGATAGCCAAAAATGACATAGATTTGGAAACTCAACAGCAGGATACTGAGAAAAACCTCCTTGTCTTCCTAAGAAGGGCACATCCCAACCTCCTTGCAAACTCCACTCTCAGGTTGTCTTGCAACTTTTGATCCACACAGTCCCATTTTGAGACAAAACCTCAAGTTAAATTCTAGTGATCCTGTTCCCAGGGAAGCCTCATTTACACTGATTTGCATGGCTTTGCCCACCTCCTAGGGGATTTGCTCACCATGAGGGTTATAATGTAGGACCATTTAATTTCAAATTTCCCCTCCCAGAGCAAGCATAGAGACTCACACTGGACTGGAAAGAAGCCCACTAAATGACCACCACTGACTGGACTCCAAATTCTAGGAATGAGAAGAAAAATTCTATTTCTTAAAATCGGATTCAGTGTGTTTAGTGATCCAGGCACTGGACCTCTGCAACCAAGAGAAGAAGAAAAGCCTGGCCACTGCTCCAGCTAGCAGCAGACCTCAGCATCATCCATATGGCACTGTTTCAGGTGTGTAAAGAATACATGAGGTCTGAGATTCAAAAGGCTTCCACCCCGATTTCAAAAGGTCTGGGATGCCAGGCAGTGTGCCCCTGAGGGGGCAGTGTATAAAGCAGTGAGTGAAAATCCAAAAGTACACTGCATATCCAAACAGTTTAAAAGTCAAAAATGTGGATCAACTAAAAAATGCCACAAGTGGGGAGCAAAGTCAGCCCCCACCTCAAAAAGTCCATTATAAGATCTATATCCACCTAAAGTGCCATGGGGTAAAATCACACAATCTCTGTAGAGCTCACTATTTGCCACAGATTGCTTCACGCGCTGGAATTGCAACTATAGGACTTAACATTTTCCCTGCTGGGTTTTATAATTGTTTTGTTCTGAATCCTTTGTATTCCCATTTGTAACTTTTAAAATGGGAATGTTTATTGTGTGCCACTGCCTGTTGGATGTGTGTAACTGTTTCCGTTTGTACATTGGCTTTCAGCTAAGGTTTGCCTTACATCTCAGAGGAGACATGAGACTTAAATTCTTCAGTAATGCTGAAGCTGTTAGGACTTTGGCAACTAAAGACTTTTTTTTAATAATGGAATGCACGTGGTTTTGGGGGGTCCTAGGACAAAATGTTGTTTTTCTAATAAACATAGTGTTGATAGAGTTGATGTTGTTTCTTAAGGATTGTTAAGCTGTGGTATAATGTTAAAGTTGCAAAATGTGAAGAATAAACATGTCTTATGTCTACAAATGGGTTTTAAAAATGTTTTTACTTTCAAATTGACAAGCGGTAGATTTTAATGATTGGTATATTGTGTCAACTTGAGAAGCTTGGAAGTTTAACAAAGACTCAACAGGAAGCCAGGATCATTACACTGTAAATATCCTCATCCTGTGCAAGAGGAGGACACAGAGATTTTGTGAGTGCTACACCCACCCTGGCCCAGGGGTGGGGGGTGGGGAAATGGGGGGTGTGGTCTGTGTACAACATAAAGGAGAAATAAAGGCTTGCTCTTTCCCCTTTTGTTCTGGATGCTTTTCTTGGCTGCTGCCCTAAAGTGCTGTCTCTGTGCTTCGCCACTCTGCCTTGCAGCCAGCTGATGATGCAATAAAATTTCCACAGACCGCGAGCTAAATAGAGATAGGGTTAAGAGCAGGAAAAAGGCATTGGATAGGTAATGACAAAAGGAGCATAAACATGGAATAGGTTGACATTTGTTCTATGGTCCCATTAAGCAAGTGTTCTGGTCTAAAGTCACAGTGTGTGGAGGTTAGAAACAATGCTCACAGTCTATTGGGTTGGTTGTCTGAAGCATGGATCAATAGCCAGCCCACAGGGAATGAGCTGGGAATGTCTGATATTCCTCAGGTCATTGTTGGTGAGGCTATTCAGAGGCTCAGGTAAATGGGAACCATGGTCGGATTCCTCAGGAACAACCTATTGCTTAGCAGTGAGGTGGTCCAGGAGATGCACCCTTCAGGACAGCCTTGAGAAACAAGTAGCACTGCATTCTTAAAGGGCTCCAGGATTTCTCTCCTCTGTATCACTGGCCTTATGTTGTGTTTATGAAACCCAGAATCCTTGCTTCTGGGAAGACTTGTCATTTCTTTCTTTCTTTCTTTTTTTTTTTTTAATCTTTTTGCTTTTTCTTTTATTGGTACCAGGGATCGAACTCACGACTGCCTGCTTGCAAGGCAGGTGCTTATGCTGCTGAGCTAAATCCCCAGCCCAACTTGTCATTTCTGATACCACTTTCACACAGATAGGGACATGTATGGAAAGAGCATTTATGAGCAAATCTGAGGCATGATGTGTATGCTCAGAGCTGTAGATACGGGCAGTGCTAGTTATACTGAGACCTCCAGAACATTTAACCACTCATGTGCGCTCTGCCGTCCCTGTGCCTGAAGGATTTGTTTCTCAGCTTCTAGGGCTGAATTTCCACCACAGATGTTGCTTCAGCCTGTGCAGGAAGCCAAGTACTCCTGCTTAGTGTGGCCTTGTGAGTCGACTCAGAAAACATTTCAAAAGCACAAGTCGCACTAACAAATTTCGTTACTTTCTAATGTATCTATTAAATTTTTAAGATTAAAGTCAAATTCAAATTAAGTCAAATAGTATTTAAAAAGAAGAATCACTTTTTAATTGTGTACTGTAAATATTGCAAGTGACTTTTGACTATCAAATCAAAGGGTACTTTTGAATATATTTTAAATATTGTGGACATATGTCTTGTATTTTATAATTACAAATTTTAGCAAATTTAAGTATAGATTATTTATTTGCAATAAAAATTTAATGTGAATTGATATAAACTAGAAACATAATATATATGACTTGCTTGTAATGATTTCATCATGCAATATATCCCTTAATTAATTTTGATATATTTTATCAATTGAAAAATGATTTAGATGTAATAGATTTTAAAAATGTATTATTGGTTAATTCATATATATGTACTATATGCAATAGTGTAATATATCATATATAAATAATTTTATATTTCCTTTTATTAAATGGGGATCAC